TGGACAGGTATGCTATGCTAGTAGTAAAAGCTCTCTGGTACACTTCACAGCTTCGCCTACATGACCAACACAACGTAACCACAACGTTATTTGAACGTTGAATACTAACGTTGCTGCAACGTCGTAGTTACGTCTCGTGTTTGTATATGTACTAGGATGTGAGGGCCGAAGAGTATGGCATACAAGGGAAGGGGGGGGAGGGACGGAGTTATCAGGGAAAAGCGCCAAGCCATTACGACTATATAGCACTGGGAAAGGGTCAGGACGGGCTTTGGGATGGGACGAGGGGAAGGAATGGTGCCCAACCTCTTGGACGGTCGGGGATTGATCGCCGACCTGCATGAAGCGAGACCGTCGCTGTTCCGTCCAACCCAAGTGGTTGGGCAGGGAAGGGGGGACTATCAGGGGAAAGCGCCAAGCCATTATGACTATATAGGACTTGGAAGGGATCGGATGGGACGGGGAAAAGGAATGGTGCACAAGCACTTGGACGGTCGGGTATTGAACCCCAACCTGCATGAAACGATACCGTCGCTCTACCGCCCAGCGCAAGTGGTTGGGCGCCACACGCCACCAGTGCACACAAGAGTAGGTTTGCTTTCACACATACACAGGAGAGCTGCATCTGGCGGACAGGTCTTCACTGTTAGAGGTGCTGTTAGGTGCGGGTGAGAGAGAAGGAAGGTGGCGGTGAGAGAGAAGGAAGGTGGCGGTGAGAGAGAAGGGAGGGGGAGGTGAGAGAGAAGGGAGGGCTGGAGGAGGGCGGGAAGAGGGTATGAGGAGTCAGAGGAAGGGCGGGTGTGGAGGGCGGGCGGGGAGATACCCAGACACCATCAGCCTGGCCTTACCCGCGTCACCTCTCAAGACGGAGGGGAAACACAGGTAAGGCAGGAGGCCATATTTAACACTGCCTTATGAGGCCAGCTGCGGTTATTACTGATACCCCACACGTATGGCTGCGCCTTATACACACGCTAGGGAGTCCGCCCTTATACCCACAACAAATGACTGCCCCTTATACTCACACCAGAGGGCGGGCCCTTATACAGTCCCTTACACCTGCACTAGACTGCCGTCCCTTAGACACTAGGAGGTCGTCCCTAATACAGACATAAGGGGCCTACCCTCATACCCACACCAGGCGGGAACTCAATAAGAGGAATAGGTTAAGTCGTTCAAGACAATTCAACACACAACTGTAGATGTAAATATGTTAATAAGACAAACGTGGGAACTGATTCAGTGCAACGGTAGCACACTTGCCACAGATTGTCTGGGTTCGAGCCCCTGAGCAGGAAGGGGTCGACTGGTCACTGATCCTTAACTTTTCGCCCCGTTCAACCAGCATAAATTATAGACCTGGTTATAAACCGATTGTCGGGTCATGTTCCAGGGGGAAAACTTGTAGAGTAAGACTTGTCATGAACTACGGGAAGGGAAGGCTCTCAGCCTGCTGACAGGAGTCACAAGTCTGTGTTCTTGTACTCCGAGTGTGTGAGAAGAACAGTTCTGAAGGCGGAGCTAGGAGTCGACCTCGTCCTTACAAGCACATCTAGGTGTCCACATCTAGGTGATAACATCTAGGTGTCCACATCTAGGTGTCCACATCTAGGTGTCCACGCCTAGGTGACCAGAGCTAAGAGGGTTAATCTATGATGATAGGTTGAAGGAACTGGACCTTACAACCCTGCAGGACAGAAGAAACAGGAGATATGATCACAACATAAAAGATACTGAGGGGAATGAACAAGAACAGTCTATTTAAAGTGAGAGAAAGTAGCACGACAGAACATGGGTGGAAACTGGAAACACAAATGAGTTGAAGGATTGTAAGGAAATAATCGTACCCCTGAAAGATTAGTGAAGTGAAATGCACCGGAGGAAGTTTAGGAAGCCACCTCCATCCACAACTTCAAGGCCAGATCCGAGAAAGAATTCGTACGCCAGAATAGTTCAATTACAAGAGGTAGAACACGGGCAGGAGGCGGGGCACCAGGAGCTAGACCTCACTTCCCAGTAGTTACAGAACGGTTATAGATAAGAGCATCTACAAGGCGCTATACCCGTCACCTCAATGAGCTTCCTGGACACGTAAGGTGATACTGCCGGCAGTTAGGTAATGGCACTTCTGAGATAGTGCCAGCCTCTCAGTGGAGCCAGGCAAGTATCAGCAAGATTATTGGCTCAATAATTTGCGGTTATCACGGTTCATGATTGTTGCCATCGCGCTTGTGAACCAATATTAACGGGGTTCATGAATCGTTAACGCAACCATTTACGAAACCTGTACATCTTTCCTAAATCATCGCGGCTTTGCTTACATTTAGTAAACAGTTTACCAGCGTGGAAAATTCACAACCCAAGGTTATTATTGTTATAAACAACCTCGTAGTGCTCCGGAGCTCATAAACTGTTTAATAAACGTAAACAAAGCCGTCACGATTAAGGAAGGATGAACAGGTTTCGTAAGTGGCTGCATAAGTGCTAATGAATCCTGGTCTGACTGTATGGTGTGACACGCAGGGGAGGATGGGTTTGTGTGGTGGGTTACGGGTGTGGTGGGTGAGGGTGGGCGTGACACGGGCGTGGCCCAGGGTGGGTGGTGAGGGTGGGCGTGGCACAGATGTGGGCCTGAGAGGTAAGCGAGGGTGGGCGTGGCATGGGTGTGGGGCCCGGGAGGTGGGCGAGGGTGGGTATGGTGCGGGTGGGCCAACCAGGACACACGGTAACCGGCGCCATGTTGCTCTCCGGCCAGACCTGTGAAGCACAGGAGGGAGGGACACACTCGATCCGGACCTGTTGCCACATACCTACCACCCGCCCCACCTAAACCCACCCACTAGTGGTCTAAACCCACCCACTAGTGGTCTAAACCCACCCACTAGCGGTCTAAACCCACCCACTAGCGGTCTAAACCCACCCACTAGGGGTCTAAACCCACCCACTAGCAGTCTAAACCCACCCACTAGTGGTCTAAACCCACCCACTAGCGGTCTAAACCCACCCACTAGGGGTCTAAACCCACCCACTAGGGGTCTAAACCCACCCACTAGGGGTCTAAACCCACCCACTAGCGGTCTAAACCCACCCACTAGGGGTCTAAACCCACCCACTAGCGGTCTAAACCCACCCACTAGCGGTCTAAACCCACCCACTAGGGGTCTAAACCCACCCACTAGCGGTCTAAACCCATCCAATAGGTAACAGACGTGCAAACACGTCCAAAAGAGGTGTAAACACATTCAACAGAGGTATAAACACGTCTAATAGTGGCGTAAACACGTCCATCGGAGGAGTAAACACGTCCAACAGAGGTGTAAACACGTCCAATAAAAGTGTAAGCACGTCCAACAGAGGTGTAAACCTGTACAAAAGCGGTATGGTACAGGTACTCAAATCCACTAGCGTCTCCGTCCTGCCGGGGAATGGAACCGGGGACCTGTCGGTTGGGACACAGTATTCCCCAAGAACCATTCCTCAATACTGAGCCCAGAAACAGCATCGCATAATGTGAAAGGGATCTTTCTACCAATAGAGTTGTTGGAGGACTTTGAGCTTTGTGTAACTGCTTCATAAAGTCGGGAAATGTGTCTTACGAACACCTTCGCATGGTTACCTTTGGCTTTATATTCATTCTTACAAGAGCTTTATTTTCTTTATCGAATTGTCTAGTTTTTATATTTGTTTTCTGAAATGTGAATGTTTTATTTACATAGAATGAGAGAGAGAGAGAGAGAGAGAGAGAGAGAGAGAGAGAGAGAGAGAGAGAGAGAGAGAGAGAGAGAGAGAGAGAGAGAGAGAGAGAGAGAGAGAGAGAGAGAGAGAGAGAGAGAGAGAGAGAGAGAGAGAGAGAGAGAGAGAGAGAGAGAGAGAGAGAGAGAGAGGGAGAGAGAGAGAGAGAGAGACACACACACAAACGAGCACCACATACACTACACAAGGACCAGGATACACACCACATACACTACACAAGGACCAGGATACACACCACACACGCCCACAAATGGCTCACAGCTGACAACATGTCAACAACCCAGACGTCCAAAGCATCCCTAGTTATTTCTGGAGGCTGTTTCCCCAGCCGTAGACCTATGCAACAAAAGCATATATACACAGTGAGAGAATAACGGGGGGGGGGGAGTAAAAACGATATTAACTTAGACTTAAGATAATATATGTATGTACTTGATTAGTAATACTTATTATAGTAGCATTCTTTTATGTCATTTTATTAACAGGACCAATAGACAGATGACTGATGCGTTGAGGACACACTGTGCACAATAGTGCCTGTTCTATTATGTGAAGTCTATTGTTTCCCCAGGGCGATCCTTTATGTATTATTTGCTAAACCTTCCTATCCTTCATTAAAGAATTAAAGATCTAATGAAAGTGCTAAGCTTTCACAACCCTTCCTCTCAAGACCTTATATTTGTTATGTATCTGACTAAAATGCGTAGTAATTGACTTTTTTTTTCTAATTGGCCTCGATAGGTTAGGTGGGTTGCTTGGGTTCGTACGTCTCTAATTAGACAAAACAGTTGCACTTTGACGGAGTGGCAAGGGAAGGGAATTATCAGTAGAATGATATCTTGGGACTATCAGTTCCAAGATATCATTTAGGATGTCAGTACATGAATAGTCACATAAGAAAAGTGGTGCGAAAGGAATCAAAATTACAGCGTTTAATGAGGAAAAAATTACTTGAAGAATTGTTGAAAAGCAACATTTCCAATCATCCTAGTTAATCAGAATATTTAAACACTATTCGTTCACCGGATGGTTATCCTAGCGCTTAATAAACATTTATGTAATATCCAAATAATTAATTTTGAAGCGAACACATCACAATGTAACGTAATCATTTGTATTTTAATAATTTGTATTACCACAGGAGACCCCTTGTATAGCTAAATCTCCACACTACTCCAAGTTATCACCACCACCTTATAAACTCTGACAACACTAAAATTGAACCAATTTGCGAATCTTAGACGTACAAAAAATGGCCAACTCAACTGTTTATAGTCAAGCGGAAGAGAAGGCGGTCCTTGACGTACTGCCCCGCACCGTGGTTGGACGTCGACTGGCTTCCCGGCTCCCACACCCCCGTATATATAAGCCAACCGGGAACTGGCCTTCGAGGAATAAGATATTTAGCCAACCCGTCTCGTTACGTTATCGTGATCAACGTTACATATGCAACCTATTAAGAGACGTAATGGCTCACAGATATATACGTTCTCAGCGGACTCGATAGGTTAGGAAGCGTGGGCAACATTGTGTTTTATGTGATACAAACACACTAATGGACACTCAACACACCACTATGATATGGATCAACTTGTCTTTAATCACTTTATATTTAGCTCTGCATATTAGCGGCTTTGAATATGTTTATTTAGCTTTGGTAAATCGTAGGAGTTAGATTAGTTTATTTATTATGCAATCGAGACTCATCCTGTGAGTGGTAGTGGAAGTTGTGTGAATGAGTTTATAATGTTTGTGATGAGTTTACTGGGCAGCGTCACTCCGGTGAGTGACCACACCGCTATAGCATCTTCCTCCAATAGGAAGATAGCCCCTCAGGGGTGTTCATCCTGTGAGTGACCACACCGCTATAGCATCTTCCTCCAATAGGAAGATAGCCCCTCAGGGGTGTTCATCCTGTGAGTGACCACACCGCTATAGCATCTTCCTCCAACAGGAAGATAGCCCTCAGGGGTGTTCATCCTGTGAGTGACCACACCACTATAGCATCTTCCTCCAATAGGAAGATAGCCCCTCAGGGGTGTTCATCCTGTGAGTGAACATACCGCCAAACATTTCATTCCCGCCCAAGGTTCGAACCCGGGATTCCCGATTGTGATTCGAGAACAACCCCCAACTGTACTACCGTCAAATTCTTTCCATATTGTGGGTAGGGTTGTGTTCGGCCAGGTTGTTGTGACTTGTACTCTGCATGTGTGCACCATTTTGAGTACTGGAAGTCTACTCACCATTCCAGGATCCGTCTCTCATTTAATACGTTACATTTCTTTTACGTAATGATCCAAATTAAAGCGTTGTAATACTGACGTTTCTATGCATCGGCCTCGAAACTTCTCAACCCGAAGTTATTATTGTTATAAACAACCTCCTAGTGCTTCGGTGTTCTTAAACTGTTTTATGAATGTAAACAAAGCCGCCATGATTAAGGAAAGATGTACTGGTTTCGCAAGTGAGTGATGCTTGATGACTCCTGTCTGAGGAGAACCCTTGCAACAGGTGGGTTATATTGTGTGAGCCACAGTGTTGTGATTCACTGTGTGCAACATCTGGCTAGACTTACGTCACAATGTCTTGTGTTCGTCACACACATCCTTCGTTCGTTCTTCATCCTTCTCAGAGTGCGGTGCTCACAGTGGCGGTCATTGTGGCGGTGAGCAGCGCTTACTCTCTACCGGGAAGTGAGCTCTAGCTCTTGGTGCCCCGCCTTCTGCTTTTCTTCTACCTGATAATTAAACTATTCTGACGTTCGAATTCTTTGACGATTATGGCCTTGAAGTTGTGGATGGAAGTGGAGCTTCGACTCATTTGTGCTTCCAGCTACCGCTTATATCTTGTGGTCCCACTTTCTCTCAATTTAAAGAGGCTCTCCTTCTCAACCTTAGATATTCCTCGTCGTATCTTGCATGTTACGATCATATCCCGTCATTCTTATGTCGTCTCGTCCTACTTTTCTCCAGTGTAAAGAGTACACATTCTCTCTTCCCCCGTCGTATCTTGTATGTTGGGGTCATATGCCCTCTCATATGTCCTCGTCCTACTGTTTGTTAATGTAAAGAGGTTATCCTTGTCTACCTCGTCTGTCCATTCTCAGCGGTAGAGTGATGCTTAACCCTAGCTCGTGAGAAAGTTTCAATTGTTGTTGTTGTTTAAGATTCAGCTACTCGGAACAAAATGTTTCAAGTAGCACGGGCTATGGTGAGCCCGTATTAGACTTACCTGGCACAGGAGTGGAGCTGTGGAGATTTTCAAGCCCCACCATGCTCAAGTATGCACCAGCATGGTAGAGAGGCTGTGTCAGGTGAGGTGTCACAGGGTGTGTCTAGGGTGCAAACAGGCAGTATCAGAGGTGTTAAGAGTTTTGTATGAGGCGGGGGCAGGAGTATGCTAAATGATTAACTCGTCTGGGCTCACTCCCCCCCCCCCCACGCCCGTCTGGGCTCACTACCCCCCCCCCCCCCACGCCCGTCTGGGCTCACTCTCCCCCCCCCCCCCCCCACGCCCGTCTGGGCTCATACTCCAACACTTTCGCCGCAAACATTTCCTGCGCCCTCTTTTACAGCAATTAACGCAGCTAAAAACATGGAGCTGAGTGAATGGCCTCACCAGAGGGCGTGTTAGTGATGGCCGCCGCCCTCGTCTTCCCTCATGTTGTGTCTGCCAGACACCAATGTTTCCCTCATAATTACTGCCGCTACCAGTACTGCATCGTCATCTTCCCGGTGGCCACAACATGCTCCACCAACGTTCAATCAACGTTATCGATGTTGAATAAACGTCGTTTGCCCAACATCAACCCACTGGGCGACATCACCCTGATACGTCCCCAAACACAGCCACGTTATCTACGTGAGACCATCGTAGGATTAACGTAAAATCAACATTAAACTAACGAAGGATCAACGTTAAATCGACCTAGGACCAACGCTAAATCAACGTTGAATAAACGTTACTGGAGCAACCGCAACGGATAAAATATGCCGGTGTAGCGCTCCAGCGACGGAGGACTACCGCTAACAACGCTTCGTGGGTCTTCATAGGTCTTCATGGGTCTTCGTGGGGTCTTCATTAGTCTTCATGGGATCTTCGTGGCTTCGTGGGTCTCGGGCCCTACATGGTGATGTTGCCCCATGGACGACTACAGCCCAACGTGTCTTGTATACACACGAGCCACTAAAGTTTCCTTTCACTTGACCAGACCACACACACTTGAGAATGGTCCAGGGCGGACCGAAACGTCGTCGTCCCTTCACCTTCTAGTGTGTGGTCCGGTCAACATACTTTAGCCACGTTATTGTGACTCATCGCCTTTCCTTTCACTTAAAACAGTTCCAAATGACCTTATGAACTAGGCTGTTGTCTGGCATCACAGGCCGGGCCCCAAACATCCCACACAACTCACAACTGTATCTCTCCACAATCCTGACATCCCTTATCTAATCACGATTGTTGCTCTCGCTCATAAATGGTCAGGCAACACAATCATTCTTAACAATCATATGTGACCCACTCTCACGCGGTTAATTTATGCAGATGGCGTGCAGAGTAACATTGTTGGATCGTACGACGTGCGCTGGGTCTTACGACGTGCGTCGTATTCAGGACGTGTACTGGGTTTTACGACGGGCGCCGGGCTCCAGGCACCAGATTCACAAAGCAGTTACTCGAGTACTTACGAACGTGTGCATCTTTCCTCGATCTTTGACGGCTTTGGTTACATTTATTAAACAGTTTACAAGCATGAAAACTTCCTAATCAACTGTTGTTATTGTTATAAACAGCCTCCTGGTGCTTCGGAGCTCATTAACTTTAATAATTGTAAACAAAGTCGCCAAAGCACACAGAAAATAGAGCTCCGCGCCTCCGGCCACACTCAGCTCTCTGCTTTGCTCCAAACTCCGTCTCAACGTGCTCAACGTACTTAATCGACTGTCGTAGCTCAGTCGATTAAGGCAGTGTCTGGGATGCTCCGGGACGCAGGTTCGAATCCTCGTCGCGGCCCTTGTGGATTTATTCAAAGCCGCCAAAGATTGAGAAAAGATGTACAGGTTCGTAAGTGCTTGGCGTAACTGCTTCGTGAATCTGGCCCCAGGACGCCCACCACACCCCAGGACTTACACAACACCCCGCCTCTACATCAACGCCACATCTCTACATATACATCATAACAACAAAAGATGAACCGCCATACCTATAAACATTTCCGTGACCATAAACACACATGATTTACATACAGATGTGAGCGATTAGAGCCCGTACTCGGTACTTGGGGTGACGCGACGTATTGCACCTTGGATAACTCGTTGTTGTTTTATGTATGTACGAGATGGCCGGCTTCGCCCGGGTCTCCCTACCCCTTCCCTTCTCATACTCGCCTCTCTCCTTATCTCCGTTTCTCTTCACCTCTCTCACTCTCTCCATCAGTCTCTCCTCCTCTCTATAGTCCCAACATACATACCCCATCTCCCTCTCTCACCCTCATCTTCCCCTTACACTCTTCTACTCTCTCTGTCTCTGTCTCTGTCTCTGTCTCTGTCTGTCTCTGTCTCTGTCTCTGTCTCTGTCTCTGTCTCTGTCTCTGTCTCTGTCTCTCTCTCTCTCTCTCTCTCTCTCTCTCTCTCTCTCTCTCTCTCTCTCTCTCTCTCTCTCTCTCTCTCTCTCTCTCTCTCTCTCTCTCTCTCTCTCTCTCTCTCTCTGTCTCTGTCTCTGTCTCTGTCTCTCTCTCTCTCTCTCTCTCTCTCTCTGAAAATGTATTTTTTTCCACTGATAAAGCTTCTAAAGTCTACGGAAAACACATCCCAAATTTCATACATTATGAAAATAGTAGGGGGGTCGTTATAGATGCCAATATTTCTTAAAGGGTAACCCTGGGACCGATCCCGAGCTTCTTATGACACTCACATACACCCCATGTGTCATCTTGGAAAATCTGTTGAGGATAGCCACAAGCGAGGCCTACTTTAAACAGACAGATATTCCGTTAAACGTAGATTTCCATGCCTCTGGAAATGGGTGGATGCTTTCATTTGTAAAAACGGGTGTTTACAGATGAAATATGAGAGGGACTGTCAAGCCGCCTGTCAATCACTCTGTCAAGCAGGCAGCCAGTCAGTCAAGGAGTGATCATGCAACAGGAGCCAGGGCGAGAGTCAGGACACCAGCCAGCCGTCAAGCCAGACTGCATGAGGCTGTGTTGGGCAGAGGCCAAGTCTGCCTCCAGCAGCACCACAGACACTCTCAGGAGATGATAAACACTCAGCATCACCTCTAATGGCTACTGCTCACCCTTAAGCCTCCATGCTGCCCATAACACACACACACACACACACGCCTCTATCTTGAGGTTATCTTGAGATGATTTCGGGGCTTTTAGTGTCCCCGCGGC